TCGTCGTCGTCGTCTCTCTCTCTCTCTCTCTCTCTCTCTCTCTCTCTCTCTCTCTCTCTCTCTCTCTCTCTCTCTCTCTCTCTCTCTTGCTCTCTCTCTTTTTGTCTACTCTGCTCTCGGCGATAATAAAAAAAACAATTTTAATGCAAAATGTCAGAGAAAGAATATCTGAAAGAGAGAGCCGCTTATGTCAGTTCAATAAAACACTGTTTGTTAATTAAATACAAATTTGTTCGCGATACATTAACAACAAGAAAATAATTCCTTCAATATGCAGTTTTAATTTGTGTACGCGTATAAAATATGATAATCAATTCTTATCGCTAAAAGATATATCGTACTAATATTACTCGTGTTTTAGCGTATCAACTAAATAATTAGTCATATTTAATAATAGTTAAGATGGCAATATGCATATATGTGCTCTTGATTCTAATAGAACAAAAATTTCTCAAACTGAAAATTCCGATATAACGCGATTCTTTGTTTAGTTTGTATACACGTATTTTTTTATTCAAATCGGTTTGCCTTTCATATCATATCATATCATATACATCTACATTTACATTGCAAATGTTATTCCAATTTTATTCATGTATGTATCGATTCAATGAAAGTCTTCGGATACTATTCATTTTGCACCACTAGTTGTTTTGTAAAATAAAGTGTCGATTTATTTATATTTAAAAGCCGAATGCACATTGTCTTAGCAAAGCCCTCTAATTCGTGCAACACGGTGCAACGTTTTCTGGTTATGTCAACCGAAAACTTAGCAGGACAGATTACGAGGAAGAGAGACTGTTTCTTAAGCAGATACACAAAGCAATTGTAGCAGACATTATTCCAACTAGCGTACATGTCACGTGAAACAATCTCTTGGACGAATTCACTGTTTCTTGGCAAGATTTATCTCAGCATCTTGTTCAAATAAAATCAAGAGAACGACTACATCGTGGGTCTGACAAATAAGTGCGTATGCGAGTAGTAGTGTGAAATAAATTAAGTTGATAAACACGATATATGTTTCTTACAGGGGAAAACGCAGAAATAACAGAGATTAGAATAATTATACAACAAACTAATTATACTAAACAAGCCAGCAACATTCGGTGAATACCGCGTGATAAACAAAACTGCTACAAAAGATCGAAAAGTAAACGATGTGAAATCTGTTTTGACATTCGCGTTACAAGAGAATCGGAGGGTCAGGCGCGACGTGACAGTATTTGTTAAATAATCTTGGCACGCGGAACACCCAACGAAATCCGTAGGAGCATGCGTCCGTTTAATGTCGCCCGGGAGAGAGCTCGCGGAAGGCAACGTACGTCGGACGTGGCTTGCGACGGGTAGAAAAGTCGAGGTGCAGCGAGAGCTCGCCTTCTTTCGCATTCCTCCGGAGCCTTCGTACGTAAGACTCATTGATTTCCACGGTACGTGACAAACGCGATCGACCGTGAGCATTCGCCGGATCTCCGTGAGTTCGGATCCCGGGCACCTCTTGCCGGGAGACGTGGTGGTAGTAGGACAGGGAATGGATCCGAGCTCGCACACTCCTTCCTTCGCCCCACGGTAAAAACTTCCGAGTGGATTGTCTTGTTTTCCGGATCAGTGAGAGAGACCCGATCTCTCCTTCCCGGCGCGTACGTATAACGTATCGCTCCCGATTCATCGACACGGCGCCGTGACGAAGAACAGAGGCACGAAAGAGCGTTACCTTGTCGGCGACGAGTCCGTCATGCGTAAATCCACCGTACTGACCGGATTTATTCGCGCGAGCAAAAAAAATGTTGGTTCTCGATCAACAGCGGCGAATGCAAATATTTATTTCGTAATAACGCGCTGTGTGTATGCATATCGCGTCACTCGGATATATTATGACTGTTAGTCTGAAACCGGTGAATGTACCGAAATGTTTTCAACAATGCGCATGTTGAAACTATTAATTATTAGTTTGCATATGGAGTATTCGACAATTCGAGTTAAAAACAGTTAAATTAACTTTTAATTCCATAAGCAAAATTTAATACTGTAATGCTGACTCTTTCACTGAGCGATGTATAATTTTATGCGTTACAAAAAGTCAAGCTTTGATTTTTATGTTTTATTTTTCATTGCATATGATGAGCAAAAATACCACCAATTAAATTGTGTTTAAAGCGAAGCGAATCATTATATAATCTTTATGGCTTTCTTTACATATTTTAACAATGAAATATACACCGTAATTTAAATGCACATTTATCATCTGTACCATTAGATCCATAGAAACGGCCGAGAATTCGCTGCTGAAATGTTCAGAGGCGCGTACGCGTATATTCACCTTTTACGTCCTTCATGCGCGTTCATGGCCATCTTTAACCCATTTGCATTCATAAACGCGCATAATGGACTAGCTGCTATCACGCAAGCATATTGCTGCCCGTCACGTTCCAGTCAAGAGCGTTAAGCTATCAAGAAATGGCAAAAATGCATATTGTTGAAATCCGTGATGCATTTCATCAAGTGATTCTTTTTGTGGCAATAGTTAATCTTTTCTGTACTTTTAGCATAACATCGATAAATATGTACAAAAATTCATAACTTCGAAAATTCTTTGCAATGCGCATAATTATCTAATAAAATAGATACTTCAACGGATATATATAATAGAATCATAAATAAATTACAATATATTACAATATATAGGATGTCTCAAATGTCGCATATATTTCCAGATAAATTAATGTTAACATTTTACTTATTAAATTCTTATGATTATATGTATTTTACGTTATTTCGAAACACATCTTATCTTATAATGATATTGAAATAAATACAATTAATTAAGTCTACTCACCGGTACGATGCGTAGCAGCGGAGTTGTTGTTCAAAGTTGACCTGTAACATACAAAAACATTCAAATTAATGTAGAGAAATAATTAATGCGCATATTACTGTTTGCGCATTAATCTTTTATACAAATATTTAATAAACAAATTATATATATACCAAAAAAACTATAATTTTTAAAATAATAATAAATATATGAAAATATCTAATAACTAAAAATATTGAAAATTGCAAATTTTGTATTGAATATTTCTAATATTTTATGTGCTACGTTACATCACATTCTACATATGTGCAATATTTTGCAGATAATAAATAAATGATAACTCACTCTAAAGTTGCTTCGCTGGTGCCCGATGCCCTTCCTGAGCCTCCTCCTCCTCTCAGTCTTCTTTGCAGTTCTTCAAAGGCACTCACACGCGTTCACGAAAATCGCGCGATGTTTTAAACGGCACTACCGACGCGTATTTCGTCATTTAAGACAAAAGTGGACTCGAATATTATCGCACGGATACGGACACGTTCGACACTGCCGTGTTCGTAACAGATAACGATAGAAAAGAATGAGATCGAAAAATGCGGAAAGTAGTAAAGGTAGAATTATTGGAGATGATAAAATACAGATATGAAACATCTGTCCCGTACAAGTGCCGCCGTGCGAATAATAACAGGACAATAACAAGGACAAGGACGTGCCGATGTCGACTTGAAAAAGTGCGAGGAGTGGGGAGCAACAATGTGCGTGCGGAATGTGCGCAAGAGAAGGGACATGAGGCGTACAGACTAATTGTAAACACGACGATGAAAACAGCCCCACTATACGTCACGAGTCGGTCTCGAAATTTTATTAACATTAGAGCATTTATTAAATATTTACCAAAATGAAAACTTCAACTTGATTTCGATAAATATTCAATAAATGTAGTAATGTTAAAAGTTTCGAGACCAACTAGCGGCATACGATGGGATTGTTTTCATCGTTGTGCTTAGTCTGCGCGTCTCACATCCCCTCACTTTGTTTCCTTCGCTACATTCCACACGCATGTTTTTGCTCCCTACTCTCCGCATTCTTTCGTCGACACCGGCGACGTCCTTGTCCTTGTTGTCCTGTTATCATTCGCACGGTGGCACTTGTACGAAGCAGATTGTTTCATATCTACGTTTTATCCTCTCCTACTATAATACTACCTTTACTACTTCCCGCAATTTTCGATCACATCCTTTTCTATCATTATCTGTAGCGAATATAGCAATGTCGAACGTATCCGTGCGATAATATTCGAGTCTACTTTTGACTTAAATGACGAAATACGCGTCGATAGTGTAGTTTAAAACATCGCGCAATTTTCACGAACGCGTGTGAAGTGCCTTGAAGAACTGCAAAGAAGACTGAGAGGAGGAGGAGGCTCAGCGAGGGCATCGGGCACCAGCGGAGCGACTTTAGAGTGAGTTATCATTTATTTATTATCCGCAAAATATTGCACATATGTAGAATGTAACGTAGCACATAGAATATTAGAAATATTCAATACAAAATTTGCAATTTTCAATATTTTTAGTTATTAGATATTTTCATATATTTATTATTATTTTAAAAATTATAGTTTTTTTCGGTATATATAATTTGTTTATTAAATACTTGTATAAAAAATTAATGTGCAAAAAGTTTAATATGCGCATTAATTATTTCTCTATATTAATTTGAATGTTTTTATATGTTACAGATCAACTTGAACAACAACTCCGCTGCTACACATCGTACCGGTGAGTAGGTCTAATTTATTTTATTTCAATATCATTATAAGATAAAAAAATGTGTTTAAAAATAATGTAAAATACATATTTTCGTTAGCAAAGAAATTATTTTTCAACTTTTTTTCTAATTTTGAAACATTTCGGATATAAAGTTTCGAATTAAGATTACGTTATGACTTTCTTGAAATTAACTGAAAAAATGAATATTTTTTTATAAATAAGAGACCCTTATATCATATAATTGAGAGCAGAAGCAACGCGAAATATTTTCAACCACTTCGCTAGTATGAGCGGTATTCTCGTCTGTTGTTTCATCATATAACTTCCGGCAATTTTCCCAGTGTACGTTGGAAACGAAATTGGACGGGGGACAAACGGCGAGTGTTCGAGCGCAAAGAGCGAGCCGTGTCTTGTAACTTGCGAAATTCCCGTCTCATCGCTGTACATTTGCGACACACGGGTCGTTTAATACGGACCTTCAAGGTACCACGAATTGGCAGTCGCAGTCGGGCGCGAAGGCGTTCGTAACAGGGCGTGAAACTACGCGAAGGCACGCAAAGTGTAGTTTCAAAACAGCTTAACAAGCGCGGCAGCTTCGGCAATGGACCGCATCCGAAGCGGTCGAACACGGGCTATTCGTCACCCGTCCTTCTGCCTGCTCCCATTTGCCGGACGCGATTGCGTACCACGGTTAGCTCGATGGAGCTATCGGTTCCGGACCGGTCGTCGCGCCGCGCGGCTTTTTTTTCCAGTCAACAATAGCGATAGCCAACCTCGTTCTGACCGGAGAAGCCATTACTCTCGTGAGTTCGAGCCTCTCCAGTCGTAAGATTAACAGCCGCGCTTCGCCGACGAGATATATGAAGTCCGTGTCGTTAGGAGTGTTCGATTGTCAAACTGTATCGATCAATCGTTCTATCTAAAACCGTTAATCGTTGTCAGGATAATTTTAAGATAACTACAAATAGTTAATATGAAATTTGATGTCTCTACATGTAATTCTTAAATGAGAAAGAAAAAAACTAATGGTTATACCATTACATTAATCCAATCGATTATCTGATATTGGTATCTCAAATATTTAACTCGTACTCATATATTAACTGCAAATTGATTTAATTAATATAAATTCTATTAATCTTAAGTGATAGAGTAGTCGTCGCAAAAAACGTAATTAATCATGTGCGGTGAAAATTTTGTCTTGTTCACGCGTGTCTTTTCCAGAAGTCGTTAATTTCACAATTAAAAGGAGCTTTTAATATTCTTCCAACTTGTCACACGTGAACGTCCTAAATGCCCTCCTAGCGGTGCAAATGGCCACTTAGATTTTACAGCACAGCGGAAATCGTTAGAGCGCGCTCGAATGACTCTTGAGGGTGATTTCGGGCGTTCGCGGGCAACAATAAATTTAACCCTCGAGTGGTAATGGCGAAGGTGCTCCCTTTACGCGCGGATGGACCCATCATCTGGGGCCAGATTCTTAGGTACCAACCGAATGTACTCCCGGGTGTAAAGGGTAAAGGCGTATATATCCCGTTATTTACGACTTACGAGGAAGGAACGAAGAATCAGGCGTAGCGGGAGGGCACCTAAAATATTTACGTCCGGCGTGCACAACGGCCTGACACAGATAAGGACGTTTACTCGCGAAACACACTAGTGCGACATCGGCAAACAAAGCTCGCCGTATGCACGCGAAATGAATCTTGACGTTGCTCGCAGGCATTGCTTCTCTCGCGGTCGCCTCTCAACAGAATCGTGAGCACCTCCGCGAGTGCAGCATTAAGCGAGGGTAATAAAGATAACCGACGGGCTAACAGCCACAAAAGTTTCTTTCCTCTCGGCCGTCGCGGATGTGTATATTACGTTGCGCGACGCAACACTGGCGCGTTGCGGTTCTAAATGCTCGCCGCGCTACATTGTATACGACGGTTAATTAATTGCACATAATTAGTTTGTCCCAATCAACACACAATTTTTCATCCAAATGGTGGCTCGAGGAAGGTACGAACGCACGCGTACATTATTCGCATAATTATGTAGATTTGCATGATGAAATGTAATATTTCGAAATCAAAGTAGAGCACGCTACGCTGGTGAAGCGCGGCAACGAAAAGGGATGATTATTGTTTAGGAAGTTGTATGGAAATACGAAATTACAATGCTACAGGCGAAATCAAATTGTAATTGTTGTTCGCGTATATAGGATGCTAAATTCTCTCTCTTGCTTTTGGATTTCTCAGCGGATTTAAAGTCTGCTCCGTAAACGACGCGGTTGCGCGATCAATTTTAATAGAAGACACTTGGTCTTTCTTGTGTAAAAACGAGATCATAGAGTACCGATTGATCGTAAGGCTCGGTGCCTCGCGAACTCGATGTCGTACACATTTCTCATCGGGATCCAGGTTAGCGAATGCGGTCCCCAGGTCATAGAAATAGGATCAAGTCGAATGGGCGCTCTTAGTGATTACATTTGCAAGTCAAACGAGGCAGTCGGCAAGATGGTGGAAATATATATATATACACATATATATATATATGTATATATATATATATATATATATATATATATATATACACACGA